ATCAATTAATACTAGAGTAAGAAAGTTTTACATTTATTTTAAATTGATTTTAGATCTGACATATCGTGTATAAATTCAAAAAGATCTCTTCTATACCAAAAGCCTCAAGAAATATTCTTTCTGTCTCTGGAAAGTTCTGCCAATGCTGACTTTTCTGCAAACCGTAATTGAAGAATGTCTTAAAAACAAACTGCTACTAAAATAATTGAATACAAGTCCCACTTCAATCATAAAACACCTTCTTGAAACCGGAACAATGTCTACATTTTGTTAATGATTCCCTCATCATCTGGTTTAATCTCAGATTAGTGATATCTGCTCTTCAGAGTAGATATAAAACAACTTCTTGAAAGAGGAAGAGTATCAAAATTTGTTCAATGGTTCGCTTATCATCTCATTTCTCAGATTGTTGATCGCTGCTCTTCGGTGAAGAGTAGATATGAAACAACTTCTTGAAATAGGAACAGTATCTAGACATGTTCAATCGTTCCCTCATCATCTGACTACTCAGATTGTTGATCTCTGCCCTTCGGTGAAGCGGAGTTATAAAACAACTTCTAGAATCATGAACATTATCTACACTTAGTCAATGGCCCTCTCATCATCTGACTTCTTCTCAAATAGTTTTTCTGTGCTCCTCATTGTTAGCAGAATTGTTACTGAACCATCACTTTGTACATCATTACCAGCGATAAAATGTCTAATTATAGCCAACGAAAACGACAATGATTAGCATCCACCAAAAAGGAGAATCAATTCTTAAACCAGGACTACACCCGATAAAATCTGTGCTTTTTGGCGGGAAATTAAGAGTGTCGTTTGTCATAATGTGCTAAACAAAAATGAAAAAGTTCATGCGGAGTAGTATCGTTTGAAGTGTTGCACAAATCTTGCAATTTCGTGGGTATGACGACAAATTACATCCGCGTCCTGGATATGACAATAAACTACATCAGCAAGGCCTCTGATCAGGAGGTTTTGAGGAGCGTGGGACCACCTCTTAACTGCTAGTGTACCCAGGTTCACCCTGACACGAGGTGGTAGCACCTGTTAGGGTCCCAATTATGGGCAAATAGTTAACCTTCAAACAGGGGTCAAAGCACTATGAAACTGTAAAAATAGGTTTTAATACCAGAATTACATTTTTGTAAAAAAATTTTACCAGAAATAAATTCTGAAAAAAAAAATTATTACCAGCAATACATTATTACCAGCAATATATCTTTGGAAAAAATATTACCAGCAATACAATCTTGTCAGCAGTAAATAACCCATTCAGGCTGATATGCTGTAAAACAAACCAAACCAAAACAAAAATTTGCAGACGAAAGGTCTCACAATTCAGTCAGTTATATGCCATGCGTGATACACGCTTCTTAGGCGATCGTGTATCCTTCGATACATGACTGACGAGGCCGATTTTTCCCGCAGTAGGTTGCTATTTCTTTCTGCCGTTGACCAGTTGCCATCCGAGGCTATAGACCCCGGACTGTCCTGCTATTTACCCATAACTTGTGGGGAGAAGAAGAGGATTCATACCTTTCCCAAGGGTATTAGAACGTAGGTGAATGTAATGGATTCGACTGGAATTTGAACTCGGCTCTCCGATTTCTCAATCTGAACCGCTTTAGTTGTAAAGGGGTGTTGTTCTTATTTGATAATGTGAAAAGATGTATTGCACTAAATACTGATATTTCACTTCTTTCTCCTTAATCTCAAGCTTTTCTTGGGCAATATTAGAAAAGGGATACCAGGAATATATAAAAAACGGAATAAATATTGAATATGTATGGGATTTTTTTCAGATCTCAGTATATTCCTTGCAACCACACCCAACAAATACAACTCATTTGTGGACAATAGTGGAATGTACTCAAGTAAATAAATAAACCCACGTAATAAATCCAGCATCTATTAGGTTCTATGCCAAATTGCTTAGGTTCCGCTATTCACTGTTATGTCCGTTTGAAATTTTGAGCTTTTCAGTTTATATTGACACTTTGAAAACACACCTGTTTAGATTAACATTTTGAAAGCCTATCAGTTTAGATTAACACTTCGAAAACGTATCAATTTAGACTGAAACTTTGAAAGCATATCAGAATAGACAGAGACCTTGAAAACATATCAGTTTAGATTGACACTTCGAAAACGTATCAGTTTAGATTGACACTTTAAAGGCATATCAGTTTAGATTGACACTTTGAAGGCATATCAGTTTAGATTAACACTTAGAAAACGTATCAGTTTAAATTGACACTTTGAAAGCATATCAGCATAGAAAACATATCAGTTTAGATTGACACTTCGAAAACGTATCAGTTTAGATTGACACTTTAAAGGCATATCAGTTTAGACTGACACTTTGAAAGTATATCAGCATAGACTGAAACTTTGAAAACGTATCTGTTTAGATTGGTACTTTGGTAGTTTATATTGTTTGTTGGTTTTATCTGTTTTCTTTTAATTTTAAATTAAAATAGTTTTTTAAAGATTTAATCTTTGGCTAAAAGACATTTTAACTTTTTATTTTAGCCCCTCTTTCTTACCATTTAGACTGAATCTACCATTGTATTTATATCACACAGAAGTTCCAACATGTTGAAAAGAGAGCTATCTTTTCTTTTAAACGTACAGGCTTTAGTTTCCTTTGATCTTCCTTGTACGTGATGATTATCAAATGGACCAGTTATTTTTGTCATGTTCGTGTCCACTTGGTCTGGACGTGTGTACACTGTTTAGAGGAAATATTCCCGCGGAAAAGAATCTAATACAGTTCCAGTATGTCTTACGTGCTACAGTTTGTGCTAAATTAGTATTTGCAAATTGTATGTCTACAAGTAACATTGCAACTGTCGAAAGAGAGAGTAGCATCTTGTCATGATTTTTGTTTTTCTGTATCGATGTTCACTCATAGCACGTATAATTCAGATACGTCCTTGCAGAAACACACACACACATATATACATATATATATATATATACGTCCTTGCAGAAACACACACACACACACATATATATACATATATATATATATATATATGTGTGTGTGTGTGTGTGTGTGTGTTTCTGCAAGGACGTATCTGAATTCAAAACGCTTCGTTCGCTTGTCCGAACTTTCTTTTCTTTTATGTGTCAATGCAAATTCTTAATTTGTGAAGTTTTTGCCATATTACCGTTGATTTGATATTGTTTTATATTCTTTTCACCTGTCCCTTTCTTTTCTTTTTTTTTTTTTTTGTTATTGCTTATTGCAAACTTTGTCAATTCTGTTTGTTTGACAGTTCTGTTATTTATTCATGCATTTGACTATTGTTACTCACTCCACAAATATGAATGAAATCGATTAGATTATATACCCAAAATACATATAAAAAAATTAAATTAAAAATTCCCATCATGTCACCCAACTTAGTCCACAACTAGCACGATTTTACTTATCTTTAGTGATCATACGAAAACTGGTGTTTTTTGACCGTAAGCTTCGATAAGAATAAAGCCGTTTTCCTATGACAATTTTATAATTTACAGGGTTGCCTATGCTGTTACATTTTATATGTGAATGGGTATATAAACAAAATACTTTGAGATAGTATTGAATTCGATCTATAGCGGGAAATTCACTATGTCTTTGCGCAAGACTAGGCATAGTAAATATTTGGTCACTCCACAATAGAATAGTGGTTAGTCAACTAGTTGGATAAACTTTTATTAATATAGTAATGTTAATCGTTATTTTCTGTCTTCTTAAGAAGTTCTTTTTTTCTTTTTCTCATATTCATTATGTTGTAGAGTAGTTTTCACAGTGGAGGCTTGTATTTCAATAAGTCGTCCTAAATTAGGTTCGACGTACAAAACGTTAGGAACTTGAAATAAGAGTTAATGACGCAGCAATCTAGTTGTGATGGTTGATACTTCAATGTCCGATATCGACTAACTCACTCAACACCACCGAGTCCAACTGTCGGCCGCTACTACTACTACTACTTACTATGTGTGGGAGAGTCTATTAATAATAGAATAGGTACGTTCAGGTATGACACATTACCACTGTGTAACTCTTTGCGTCTTAGTGGCTTTATTGCCTTGATGGGAGTGAAATTATTGAAGAAGTAAAAGATTCTCTGGGTGCTCTGTCTTTGTGGCTTTGTGCTAGATTGAATTAAGCACAGTAAATATATAAGGAGAACTAATTTTAGAATATTGATTAACTCGTCTCACAGTCAACACCAGGCAAAAATTAACTCTAAATAAAATGTAATCTAAAATCTGCAACCATAAATTCCTGCGTGGTGGTGGAATTTCCCTCGCTAGAAATTTATTATATATTCGTCCATGCATTGAATATTGCTGGTCTGGTGCTTCTGTCATATACTTAGAGATTCTTGATAAAATCCAAAGAAGAATCTGCTATGTCATCGGTCCTGACCTGGCATCTCGACTTCGGTTACTTTTCCATCACCATAACGTAGATTCTATGTGTCTTTTCTATAAATATTTTTATGGTAATTGTTCAGTAGTGCTCTTATCTTTGGAATCTTGACTTTATGAATTTAAGCATAGTGGTATATTAGTAGCTAGGTCTCATCGCTTACAAATGACTAGTTTCAACCGTAACAGTTTCTTCTATCGCACTTCTTGCTTGCGGAACTTTGTTACGCGTTCTTACTGTCCATTCAATTTCGATCTTCAGAATGTTAAATACAATGTCAGTCATTATTTTCTGACTTCTTAATTACTGTCCTTTTATTGTCCTCTCTCTTTTTTCTCATATTTTTTCGCTCTCTGTAATCCCATGCGTTTTAGTGAATTTATTACCTTGCTTGGGTGAAATGATTAAAATTTATCACTTACATTGGATCATTAATCTAATGTTCAATAATACAAGAACAGGTTATCTACTAAGGAGAAAAAAAGGGAGATGAGAGAGAGAATAGATTGAATGTATGTGAGATTGTAGGAAAAATAATGAATGGAACTAAACAATGCATCATGATGAACTAAAGAAAGAGAAAAAAAAGAGAATAAATTAAGAAAACCGATGAATGAAAAAATATAGATTCAGAAAATAAGAAGGAAGAGAAGGATAGAAAGAGCAAAATAGAGAGAAGAAGGAATGAATGAAAACGGAAATATAAAGAAACAATGAATAATAAACCAAAATAAGAATCTAGTGAAAGATAATTGAAAAAAAAAACCACCGAAAAAAAATCAAAAGGTAATGAAGTAAAAATTAATGTGAAATAAAAAGCGGACAAAAAGATAGGAATTATATTTTTATCATTTCACCCTCAAGGCGATAATGCCACTAAGACAAAAGGGATTACTGGGAGTAAAAGAGAATAAGAAGATATTAGTGAGGAGAAAAGACTGAAAAAAAAAACGGTATTCCGAAAGACAGAATACGCTGATTGACGTCGCATTTAAAAGGCAAGAAATGCAAGAAAAGAAACAATTAGAATAGCACACTTGTGTTTATTTCTAAATGAGAAAATCAGTTTGTAAATGTTAAAAAAAACTATCACAACTCGTGAGATAAATGTGTGAATATATGTATGTTTGAATGAAGAGAATAGAATAAAACTAACTGCAGGACGACTGGGAATGACTTGTAACAGAGGGGAATAGATAGATAGATAGATAGATAGATAATGAAAAGACAAGGATAGATAGATAGATAGATAGATAGATAGATAGATAGATAGATAGATAGATAGATAGATAGATAGATGAAAAGACAAGGATAGATAGATAGATAATGAAGAAATTGAGATAGATAGATAGATAGATAGATAGATAATGAAAAGAAAAGGATAGATAGATAGATAGATAGATAGATAGATAGATAGATAGATAGATAGATAGATAGATAGATAATGAAAAGACAAAAATAGATAGATAGATAGATAGATAGATAGATAGATAGATAGATAGATAGATAGATAGATAGGGCGGCAATCAGAAATAAATTGAAAAAAGAGATGGAATGATGTAAAATATTCATATTTGTAAATAGCTTAGTCACTATCTCCGTGGGTGTATTTATGGATTCTTATTCATTGATATTATATGATACGATTTTTAAGGATTCTGTTAAATGCCACATAATTGCTAAACACTTGCACAAACAGAGCTATGTAGATATTTTTCAAAGAATAAAACAATGTAAAAATATTTGTATGTGTCTGTACATAAGCAGTCTCTATTCACTTATGTGAAATCTTTAACGTATTTACTCGTGGGCAACTCTACATACAGACCTTCTCTTTTGCCACTTCAGATCTGTAAGTGCGTATGAGCACGTATAAGCTCAATTTATGAACCTCTACCCATCGTCACTGTCCCACCCTCTTTCTTCCACTTAATATTCGCTATCAGTCATTTAACAAGTAAAGAAAGGTACCTTGTCGCCGATGAGCTGATGTGAGTGGACGTGCCGTTATAAAATCGAATAAACAGTGGCCTTGTATCCACATTTTACCACCATAAATTTGTCCTTATTGAAAGAGGCACGCTCTAAGCTAAAACTGGTCGCAGATATGTTGTTGGTTCAATTGTCTCTTGGTTGGGGTGAAGGAAAGGGAACTGTAGATTGTCATCTACCTATATATAAGGGCGGATCACGTTGCTTTTCTTTACAACCAGTTAGATTACGAATGCAAACTGCATCGTCAAACATGAAATTGTCTTCTCAGTTGTATATTCTGTTTACTTTTGTTTCTTTTTTCTATTCTTATTTTATTTTTTATTTTATTTTATTTTTTATTTTATTTTATTTTTTGCTTAACCCGCCCCTATATTTATATTTTAGTGACGAATTTGTTTTACCGAGTTTCAGGCACTTCCGGTTCGAAATCCTCTCAATGACGCGCGACTTGGAATAAAGGTAAATGCTCTATAGATGCCTAAGTTTCTTCTATAGATCATTAATTAAGTGCTAATTGCTGGACACACCACCTCATTTCCAAATCACTATTATGCAGATGTTTGTGGGTTTAAATAAGTAAGCGAATAAGCATGAATAATAAATGTCGTCGTTGGCGGAATTCGTTTCTGAGTGTTGGGGTGCTCATTGACATTTCCTTCTGTGTGAAATGAGTCCTATGTTGTATCTGAAGAGATATCATCAGTCACCGCATGGTAGGCTAGGAGGGTTCAGAGGATGGAGAGCTCTGGTTTTTCTTTGGGCTCTCCTCAACTCATCTATTTGTCTTTTCCAATGTTGTTTTTTTTCGTGGGCTGCTCTTCTCCAATTGGTTATTTCTGCAGCTTCCGTCTCCGAATAGACCGGTTCAATTCCTGTCCCCAGCAAGGTGTTTTTGAGCTGATCACTGAATCGTCGACGTGGAGCTCCACGTTCTCTCTTACCAAACGCGAGTTACGAGAAGACGATTTGCATGGACAGGTGGATGTCTAGCTTTCCGCCAAGGTTTCCCGAGCATCGTATCCAGTATATACGAACAGTTAAATATGTGTATGCGCGCGGACAGTTAAATATGTGTATGCGCGCGGACTGTTAAATATGTGTATGCGCGCTTGTACATATACGTATTTGTGTGTGTGTGTCAGCATAAGCGTATATGCGTGCATTTATTTTCTTTGATATAGTATCGGTCACGTTGAGTTAAGTTGCTGGAAGAAATTTTCATTCGACTTAACAGTCGATAAATTCCGGTCTATTTAAAACTTTTGACTGTAATTCTCTCGGACCGTTTCTGTATGTGGTTAACTACAATTGTTTATTGCGTACTAGATTTAATTCCCTTGTGCTTAATTATAATTAATTTAAATTCAGTAAAACGAAAATGGCCGCCTCATGGACTTTGAATCTTTTTATCAGTTCTAGGTAAGTAAGAATTTCAGCATCCCTCCGTTTTAAGTGAGAAAAGTGTAAATAGTTGAGATGGAATTTTTTAAACTGCTTCATAAATGTAGTCTATAAAAATAAGTTTGTGTATCCAAAGCTGTCTGGTAGGAGGAATTTTCTGTAAAATTGTATTGATCCCCAAAATAAATTTAGTGTTAAAACATGAACCAAATGTTAGTTCTGACCCTGGAAGTCAGTTCTACTAGAGTCCACATTTGGTTGTAAAAAAAAAATTAAAAAGCACTTATTTTCCTTGCAGTGAAATCCAATGTTGTTGAAATCATTTTCAATGCCTGAAAATTTTCATTATCGATCACCGACTAATATGTCCTCCACTTTGGTATTTTTGGCTGATTAATTTGAAAGCGTCAAAAATAAAGTTTATTATATTAAAAAGTTTATTATATAAACCCTTTGGAGATGAAACCTCATTTGGAGTTTCAGTACCAAGAAGACGGAACCCTTTTCACAATCCCTCACTTGGAACACGAAAAAATCAATATAAAATCACAGAATACAGCAAACTATCATGGAAACCACCATTGAAAAACCCAGATGTGCGAGAAATGCGGGAAGCAATCAGATTGGCTGGACCGAGGACCAACCAGCTAATCTCGAGGCTTGTACTATCGGCCCGGGTTCAGCCGATGGTTCAGCCTAGTCGTCTTTGTCATTCGACTTTTCGGACGACAGATTGGCCCGGTTATCTCCTATGGGTTAAGAACCATAATCCCTGTTATCTAATGGAAGGCAAAAAAGAATGTTTAAAAAATGAACAACATGTCAATTCTGTCCTTGCAAGTCTGTCCTAGCAAAATCCAATGTCATTACTTGACTTACAGTGCAATTCATTATTGTTGAAATCACTTTCAGTGCCTGAAAATGTTCATTATCAATCACTGACTAATATGTCATCCACTTAGGCATGGATAAAAAGTCGGTATATTTCAGGTGACGACATAAACATCGAATCATTTCAAATCTCGTTAGGGGTATGACAATAAGAATATTGATTTTTTTTATGCAAGATATAAATTTATTTTATCATTACGCTATGCACGTATTGATTAATCTGCTTAAAAATATATGACGATCTTCGTTGAAGCAAACACACACACATATTTATATATATATATAGATAGATAGATAGATAGATAGATAGATAGATAGATAGATAGATAGATTATAGTTATTTTAAAAACTATGACTCCTTCGCTACATAAGAGTTCTCATGTTTCAAAAACGAGAGGCGAAACCATCAATATAATTATTAAAATTAAATTGAATTAAAGTATCAAGCCCTGTTTCATCCACAAGCGAATTTTTAAATAATTATAATCTAAGCTCTACTTCTGTATGGAGCACTGTTTTTTTAAAAATAAAACCAAAAATACTAAAGAACTCCGGATTATTTACCTAATGTGTTCTTTCCTATTTTTCTATATATTTACATATATATATATATATATATATATATATATATATATATATATATGTGTGTGTGTGTGTGTGTGTGTGTGTGTGTGTGTCTTCTAAATTACGCAAAAATGAAAATAATGCCGATATCTCATTTTAACAGATGTCTTTACCAAAATTATACAAAAATAACTTGAAATAGAAAAATAATAAATTTATTCAATATTATTGTCATTGCTTTCAACCATGACCTCCAGACGATTTATGAAACTCCTGCAACTCTTCTGGATGGTTCCATTGTTTAATTTGGTGAATACTGTTAAAATCCTTACCTTCAGTTAATGTCTAGTGTTACAAAGTGGGTTGCAGTCTGCGAAGTTAGGTTGCGAAATTTAAAGGGTGACGTGGTCGCAGAAATTGTCTGAGAGACATGAATATGTGCTCCTGATTGTGTGGCGTGGTGCAGAGTCCTCTTGTATAGGGTCTTCCAGCAGCCACCATCTTGACCAACGGCAGCACTACCTCCTCAAAGTATATGATACTGGCCTCCGTGTTGGAAGTGAGACCCTTACTAATTCATGAGTTCTTTTCTTATCAGAACCATCAAGATGTGTTTTCCGAGCAGTCGCACCTTTGTAATCACCATTACACTCATCCAAGTCTTTCCAATACCTGTGCACTGTCTTCAGATTGGTACCCAAACACTCAGAAATGTTCGTATTGGAGCTTCTCGGTGCGAATGCCAAGCAATACGGTATGCCATTCCAAATATCTGGCAGAGTGAATTGCGTCATGGCGATCTTTTTCTCATAGACGCTACCCAACTGACCCTAATATACTGTGTAGTCGACAAAATCATAAAAAAACAACGCGCATGCGCGAAATTAAAAATATAACATGGTGACAATTTACCTATCATTGCCCTCTCTCTCTCTCTCTCTCTCTCTCTATATATATATATATATATATATATATATATATATATATATATATATATATATATATATAGGCAATATATATATATATATATATATATATATATATATATATATATATTATGAAATGCACAAAGTCCAACAATTATTTTAAAAGACATTTTATGTTTATACATTCTTTTTATAGATACAAATATTTAAAGTAAATGCTCTGTTTAAAAAAAAGAATGTATAAACCTAAAAAGTCTTAAATATATATATATATATATATATATATATATATATATATGTATGTATGTATACGTATACATGTGTCTGTGTGTGTGCGTCTGAATATAAATGGATCGAAGCATTTGTGTGTGCACAAATATATATATACGTATACGTATACGTGTGTGTGTGTGTGTGTACGTGAGTGCGTATGTGTATGCGTCTGAATATAAATGGACCGACGCATTTGTGTGTGCATAATATGTCTAAATGTGGGCATGTAAGTACAGATATATACATAAAATTTGGTATCAATAAAGATAGGACAGTGTTAAAGCCACCCCTTTCATTAAATGGATATCAACCTTTAAAAATAGTGCATCACACCTGCAAATTGGTGTCATCTGTCCACTTCAGAGAAACATTCTATCACCAGGAAAAAAAAAAGAAAACAGAAACATGAAAACATATGAAAAGTTAATGTAGCATATTCAAGTTAGTATATAAATAAAAATATACATACGTACATAAATGCACACATACGTACACGATGTCACCTACTCGTTAAACGAGTAT